TCTAGTTAAGTATTATAAGCGAACAACAAATACATATGTGCGTAATATTATAATCCTTACAATTATTATTTTTAAGTCACAATTACAATTGTTATTACAATTGTTATAACAATCGCATATTAATAACAATTACATTGTTATTCATAAGCGATTGTGATTAATCAGATTTTTGCAAATCGCAATAAATAATAATTCTTTAGGATTTTTGCTATTTGAATTTTAAAGATGGGAAGAGCAAAATTTATAGCTTTAGAATATGTAAATCAAATAACCATAAAGCTGATTTTTATAAATTCAATAATTTTGAAAACCAATCGTCTTAATTCAGCATTACACAAAAAAAAGAAAGAAAAATTATATATTATATAAGGGCCTGAAAATAAAAAATGATTACAAATAAGGGCCAAAGCTGAAAGTTATTACAGATAAAGTCCAAATTTGAAAAATTTTACAATAAAAGGAAAAATAATTTTGCGTTATGATAATAATAGTTCTTTGAACATTATCACTGTATATACAGTATTACATTATACATTTGATATTATATTATTTCGCTTAATGATCTTTCTTTTAATTAAAGCATAGTTCGACTAGGTAAAGTACAATTTTTATCAATTTTGCAATGTCTATTTGATTCTAAACTAATATATCTATTCTGTACCAAAACAAGCAAATCATATTTGTGAAGGTTACTATGCGTTAATTGAAGATATTAAAATTGTAAAATTCATAAAAAAAGTTAAATTAGTTATAGTTTTTGCATACAAGATGCTAAGAATAAATGCAATATTGATTAAAAAATAAGATGTACATTTACCTATCAAAAAAATTACATTTATATACAAATCTAATTATTTACCTTTATTTTTAATTATTGCAGGTTGAGCTCTTATTTGTAATGATTTTTATTTTTGGACCCTTAACCTCTCTAAGTGTATGCCCTTGAGACCACAGATTAATAATATGCATTTAGAGAATAATAAGAAAAGGTGCATTTATAAAGGACAAGTATATATTTTGGCCTAAATTTTAGCATGCATTTAGAGAGTATATGTACTTATAGAGAGTGTACTTAGAGAGGTCTCTATATTATTGCACTAAGCACGTGATTATTACCTTTAATTTAATAGAAGAAACTTATTAATAAAATTGATATAGAAAAGATAATAAAAAAAAAATTTAGCAACTGTTTTGATCATCGTAAAAAACAATCTGGATTCATATTTCAAATTAATAAGTACAAAAGACAAAAACAAATTACTAAACCTGGCGGAATATAAAACCAACAAAATTTAACTTCAAGTAACTGATTTAATTAATATTTTTATTTGAATTCTTAATTTGGGTGTAGATGTAGAGCAAATTCTCTTATATCAAGAAAATGGATCTGTATCCGACATAAAACACAATTTTGATAATAATACCCACCTTTTTGTTTATTTTAATATAAAATAGCTTCTTATATGTAAAATTTCATGCTATGCATTTTTACTTTGTGATATTTATAGTTTTTTGTTTAGCATTAGAGTATAAAAATCTTCAAAATTCTGCAATTTTTATTGGTTCTGAGTCTAAATTTGCAGATCTATTTTCTTGACATAAGGTTATGGGCCGAACCAGGCTATACCGGGCTTTAGTAAGCCAGCCCGGCCTGTGTATTGAATTTTCTAATCATATTTGGGCCTGAGCTGGGTTTAAAAATATTTTTGCCAGGTTTAGAAAAACCCGGCCCAATCTGGTTCAACCTGGTCCATTCTGAATCCTAGGTAAAGGAAAGTTGATGTTAGTCTGTAAAGTGTGTGCCGGGGTCTGGATAAACTTTGCAAGAGCAAAGAGTAAGTAATGGTAGTGGAGAGATATTACAAGTACTTGGTCTTGGCCAAATACATCTATTTGCATATTAATTTTCATTTGCACATTAATTTCATTAGCAAATGATTACTGATTTTTTAAGAATTAGGGTTGGGGTGCCTGTATTAAGATTAGATTAGTTTTGAGTATAATAGTTTATATAAGTAAATTTGTTTTTCTGACATTTTAATTAATGCTTTATAATAGATTTAGACTACTATTTTCTATATTTTTTGCATTTTTCATTTTTTTCGCTTTGTTTTGCTTCATTAGACTGATCTGAGATGATCAAAATTCCTCTATCTGATTGGTTGATCATCACATGCTAATAGATATTAATGCGCAAATAGATGTACTTGGTCTCAACTTAAACATAAGTTACTGAAAATCTAGGCGATATATATGTAAGACATGGACCGCTCTAGTAGATTTATCACAAGAATAAGGTAGTCCTAAGGAACCTTAGCGGCAGTTTTTCTTTGGAGAAAATATCCCAATAGTATTAAATTAATTAGAGTAGTAATACTTTCATTAATATAACAAAGTCAGGAGTGGCTCTGTGGCTGCCCTGGCATTCACAACCAAAGTTAATAAAATATACCAGACCTCCAAGTGATTACCTTAATATTAAAAAAAAAAAAAAATCTATTAACAAAATCTGTATATATATGACCAATATTATATAAAACTATAATACTAATATTAAAAGTAACTATAAAACTATGATTGCTAAATACTTTTTAATGAAATTTGTAAAAGATACTACATTAAATACAAATTGAATTTATAATGTTGTTAATATAAGAAATGTAAAGAATCTAAGAATAAAAAATTAATTGACAAGAGTATAGTGACTTAGTAAAGTTGATAAGTTGTCGCACTCTCAAGCAACACGCCAAAAGTTCAAATTACACTGATGATAAAATTTGAATTTTATAGAATGTGTTATAGTAGATTGTATATAATTTAACAGATCAGCATCTGTAACTTTAGTTGTATCAGCTTGTACTAATAAGCTGTGAAGCATTAATATAATATATGAATTACACAAAACCTATTTGAAGCAACTAGATAAATCTAGAGGTTTAGAACACATAGAAGCCTATTTGACAAAATCTGAGTAGAAAGATAATACAAACTTTTAATAATACTACATAAAAGATCAATATTCAGAGAACTAAAAAACTGAACAAAACCAAGGTGTTTAGCAAAACACCACACTAATCAGGCCACCAGATAACTGGAAGAAAGAACTGCTTTTTTAAACTATCTGTATTGGAAGTTTAAAAAATCAAAAACATAATAAATAGTTCACAAAGTAAATGCTGAGTTTGGATAAACTCTACAAAGGCAAAAGTAGATAATGATAATGATCTTGGCTCACAAATACTTGTCTTCAGACTTAATATAAGTTATCAAAATCTAGATTAATTAAATTATAGATATAAAAAGCTCTAACAACAATGTCTCAAGAATAAACCAGTCTTAAAAAAATAGAAAAAGTATTCAAAACTTCTCAACTAACAAATATAATGAAGATGTACTAATAATATAAATGGGTTATATTACAGAAGGTTTAAATAGGTAATACCCATAGTTGTATTACAGATACAGCATACAGTATAAAATCTACAATAATAGATGGACTACTTAAATTAGACATCAAAAGTTATATATGGCTAGATATACTTTTTAATATAATAAGAGGTTTGTTATGAGCCTCTCTACCAAATACTTGAATAAAAACCTTAGCCCCAAAAAGGCTAGTTTAAATAAAAAAAAATAAAAATTAATTAACAAGAGTAGTACACAAAAATCTAATAATCTAGTAGGTTTAGATTACAGATAAAATAATCTAAGTCTAGTATTCTAAAATTAGTCAGTTAATAAGTATATAAATAAGCAACAAGGTTGTATAGTAGTGTACAGACTTATAATTTAATAAAGATACAAGAGACATAACCTCACCTTAACACCAAAAAAAAATTATATAAATGATATTATTGTATATAATATAAAATTTAGTTTTATATAGTTAAAATTTGTGTTAAATAAAATTAAAATAAAGATTAAAATTGATTTTATAATAAAATCTTACAAATTTAACAATTCTTTCTAATATGTTGAAAAAATCTTTATTTATACAGGTAAAAAGCAGTTAATAGTTAGATAGTAGGTTTAGCCAACTGAATTCTTACTGTAAATTATTACCGATTTAAAAAATAAAGGTAGGATCGCTAAAGAAAAAAAATACAGCTACAAAGTGAAATAAAAATTAATATAAATATTCAAATTTTAGTTTGCATAAAGTTTTTGGTGGTCCTGAATAGTACCTCCCACAAAAATTGTTCACATTCTGTAATTTTGGCCAATTGAATTTCAGAATCAGGTGTAATGTAAAAATCGAAACCAAACCACTTTTTTACAAGATTTTAATTAGAAAATCACCTTCTGCGGCCTAATTAAAAATGATCCTCGTAATAAGCGCTATATTGTTCTAACTATAACACGGTTTTCTTGGTTTCATTTTATACGTAATTTTTTTACTTAGAAAACAAAACACGTTTGTTTTGACCGGGGATAGGGTCACCGCCTATTTGCGATAGCACAATATGCGCATAAACCTAGTTTTTACCGCATAGCATATGCGGTAGCATATTTCGCATACGTATCAGAGATGATTTCGCATAATTATACTGTATAAGCATGGGAAGGCATAATTAGCATAAAACGGTATTTTGAACGTAATTAGCATAATTTGAGCCAGAAGATAAAATTCATGCCTGTGTCAGAAAATCTGGAATGGTATACATCAAAAGTGTTTTGGCCGGAAAGTTCGGAAGTAGAAATATATTCTAGATGACTTTTGATAGAATTTATTTTGGTTAAGTGGTCGCATATTCTATTTAATTCGCAAAATTTTATCGCATAAATTCGCATAAATCGAAGCAGAATTCGGGGTCAGTCGCAGCAGAAAGCCGGTGACCCTAACCGGGGATGAACAATTTTTCGCGAAGCGCTACCTAAAATTAGCGACTATGGTGTTCAAACACCAATGGTGCATTTTAGTAAGCCCGAGAATAAAAAGCAAGAAACTACATAATTTCGCATAGCAAAATGTGATCAATAATTTAGGTCTTTACATTTTTTTAAAGTTTGCCATTCTTTTTTAGTGCATTATACAAAGTTAGGGCCGACAATGCCTTCATATCGGGAATTTTCCATAGATCATCTAACTCTACCAATCCAACTGTAATGCTTTCTCCATGATCTCGTATCCCACAGAGTTTTCCTTCTAAACTTTTAACCTCTCCGTGATCCATTTCCTTAATACACAAGCATAGTCTTAAGAATTCATCACAACCACCGGGTGATGGATACGCTCCTCTAAATTTATTTCCATAGGCCAGTTCGGTCAAATCAATAAGATCTTGATCTCTTATTTCAATTCCCGTTTCTTCTTTAATTTCTTCGCTAGCTTTTCCGGTGAAATTGCCCGATCCATCGAGCATTCCTATTTCCGTAATAGATAAAGGTGTACAAATTGGAATACATTCAATATACAACCGACAAACTATTCTAATTATACCTGCAGGTATCTCTGGGAAATTAAAAGATGGGACGGGCAAACGTGGTTGATAGGTAATAACAACATGCTCCTTTAAAATTTGGTTATTTGGATCCTTGGATCGGAGAATTAGTAGTACGGCGACTGCGCCACCTCTCTAAATAGACAATTGATTCGAATTTAGCAATTCAAGTTGAAAACTCGATCGATATAAATATTTATTTTGGTCATGCTCCATATTTTTTATTATTTATTATTCACAAGACAAAAAAAAAAAAAATGAAATGAAGTATAACCATAAAAACAATTCCAGGAACATTTCTTCCATTTTCAATGAGTTTTGCATCTACTTTGAATTTAACAAATCCAATTCTTGAACCAAAAAAGTCGACATTTTGAATTTCAATTTTATTGATTTCAAGTTCTTTCTTATCTGCAGTAAGAACATTGTTGGATAAGGTAGAAAGCCACTCTTCAAAAGGTTTAAATTTAAGTACTGACGCGACTTCTATGTTTTGTTGCGTTATGGTGATAGGAACACTGGTGCCACCAATATCTCATAGGAAGAAATTCATATGATTGGCTAATTTTTATGGATCTACATGTGATCACCCGTGATAATTAACCAATCAA